AATATATAATAATTGAAATGTGACTGTATTTTACAAAATACTAGTCTATTAAAAGGTCAGTTTTATGTTATTGGATATGGTAACATGAGAGCACATGCGCTGCATCATTGTGACTTCTGTATTGTTAGCCAGGCACAGCTAAAAGGTCAATATAATAAAAATAATAAATATATATATAAATGTACAATGTTATGAGATTTAAGCTATTAACATTTAAACATTTATGTTTTCATGTTATAGTCTGTGTTCATTCTAGAATGAAACAGGCATAATTTATACTTATTTCCTAACTTTTTTATGGTGGTTATAAGATCAGTCAAATGTACCGAACCCGTACAAAGACTCATTAGTGAAAATAACAGATAAAATATAAAGTTTTTCTTAAGAAATGTTTAATAACTATCTGAACATCATAAAGATTTTGCAAGTGGAATTGGAAAATTTTCTGATGCATAAAAGTATTTTTAATCTTAAAATGAAAATTACTTTGCATGTTGGATAGGCAACATGCAAAATGAAAAAAAAAAGCACGAGAAAAACACTGCTTTACAAACCTTAAGACTTAATAAAAAAAAAATGATATTTTGTATATGAAAGCATTGTAATATTTACTGATAATCTTCCAAATTTCGTAAACATATGCTTACTACTTTAAAAGTTATAGCACAAAAACTATAACAAGCACAAAATGGTTACAAAGTCTGTCCCAGGGACTGAGCCCTTGCTGAAAGAGTTAATGCATAGAAGAATTCACATGACTTACATCTAACATTCTAAAACATTCTGGAGTTAAAATGCTGAAATGTATTATCTAGCAATTAGTTCTCTATGATTATATAACCTATGTGCTATATCAAATGTTGGAACCAACAGGTAATAGGTGAAATAAAAATTTCTAAAGTTAAACAACTCCACTGCATAATTGAATAAAAACTTGTACAGAATTAACTCAAAATGTATTATTCAACTGAGAATAAGAACTTAAATAAATCTGACAAAACAATTTAAATAACTTAATTTTATAGCTTCTAAAGTACCTAAGCATTATATTTATTGAAAGTATTATTTTTCATTAAGTTTTATACATAATGCTTAATAAGTGTTGTACCTGAGCTTTTGGCTCCAATCATGTCAGCAACATGTTTTCGGGCTTCCTCAATAACCTGCTTTGCTTGTAAGCCTAAAAGAGCCAGTAAACAAATTGTAATTAAAGGGTAAATGTCACTTGCATATTAATGCTATTTCCTATTAAACTGTCACAGCTATTGACTTGACACCAACAGTAGATAGTTATTATTGTATGTCAGTCTTTGAAAATAAAATCCCTAATAGAAATGTGTGTTTTCTTACAGTAAAGCCACACCGAGGTGAATCGAGCCCCTGATTTTAGCAGTGTAAATCTGAAGACTTACCGTTGTCCCACCGAAGGACACCCAATAGAAATAAACAGTGATTTGTCATATGACTTTTCGAGCATGCCGGGTGAAAAAATTTATATGCAAATGCTTCATTTTCCAAAAGGGCTCCCAAACCACCTACAAGGCAAAAGGATACAAATGAAATGGTCTTGTTTGTTATTTCAGCCACATGACTTAAGGTGAGCTTTTGGAAATAACATTATTGCTAATTTTCTAACACTTTTAAGTTCAACAAAATTGGTCATTTTTACCAATGTTTTTGTTCTATTGTGACTCTTCCTTGCTGCCACTGCTAACATCATATTTTAAAGACCAATCTATAGAGTCTCATTCTTGTATTTCCTCTGAGAAGTTACCATTTTATTAATTTGAGCTGTAAAAATTTACAGAACATGATGTAACAATAAAAAATACCATGTGCCATCAAAATATAATCTTCCCTTAATGTAGCTAACATGCAACATTTCCCTTAAATTTGATTAATGGTGGGGAAAATGCAACGATACCTTACGAGCCCATCGTTAACACTGTCACATCATTTCCTAATTCTACAATAATGTAGATGAAAGAAACAGGAAGTTTTAACTTGAAATCTAGATTTTGCCTTAACATGGATACTTCCCTTTTGTCTTTCTGGGATTATACAACCACACCTTGTCTCCTGGTGCAAAACTGACTTCAGTAGATCTATTATCATAACATAGCTTCATCGAATCAGTAGACGTTTTCAAGTTTGAACGCACTTCATGGTGAATATTATCCATCCTTTCCGATAACACTTTCACGAATTCTGACACATTTTCGGGCAACTCTTCATAAGGTGGGCATCCTGTTAACAGATCCACTGGCAAGCAAAGTTCCCGACCGAACATTAACTTCACTGGAGTGTATCC